TGCCATGTTGTAAAGAGTATCTCTAACTTTTTTCCGTGCGAAGCGGATATGTACTTCTCTAGGAAGCTTGTTCCTTCTTGCATAGTTAGTCTGGACTCTATATACGTCGTCCAGCTCCCTGATTATCGCCTGTTTGTCTTGGTGAAGTGCCTCAGCTATCAGCTCCGCCATCTTTTCACCTAAGTCTTCCTCTTTATCCTCGACAACATTCTGAAATCGTAAATAGAAGGATGCCCGGTCCATCTCCAATTGAATTATTGTATCTCCAATCTCTTTATTTTGGCTCGTTAATGTTTGGTCCACAATATCTAATTTCTTTTCAGTTTGGTCAATTCTTGTTTCGGCTTTTTGAATTCGCACTTCATTATTAACTATTGATGTTTGGATATCATTCATTTTCTGGTCCAATGCATGTATGTCTGATTTTAATTCAACATGGTTATTTAACAGTTTTTCTTGCATAGCCATCATCGTTTCTTGAATCAAAGTTAATGATGCTTGCAGAGTTTGCATTGCCAGGCTTTCTGTTGATTTTTGTGTCGCCGGAGAGGTTGTCGCTATAGTGGGGTTAGAGGGGGTCTTTTTTCCAGTTTTCCCCACTGTGGATGCCATGCTTGTCATTTCTTTCAAAATTTTCTTTTGCTCTCTAATTATCCTATCAATATTACACCAAATTTTCATTCGCCAGTTAGCGCCTCTATTATCTTTTTTTTTAATTATTATTATTATTTTATATAAATGTATATTTGTATATATATATTACTGTATCTACTTTTTCCTTCTAAATTTATAAACAAGTATAACTAGTTTTCCAGTGGGCAATCAATATCAATATCTATACTGTAATTCTAAACTCCTCCTCACAGTGTATTATTTAAGTGTATTAATTATTAAATTGGCTTAATAAATATAGGTTAAATAGTTCAATACTATATAAATCAAAATATCAGTTAATCAACAGTTTACAATCAATATATCGAATGTAACAATATAGCAATTAATTTGGCTAAATATTGTACTTTTAAATACTTAAATACTTAAAATACTATAAATACTATAAATAGAGACTTTTGAATATTTAATTTTAAATGCAATTATGATTTTAGATACTATAAAAATACTGGTAGATACTATAAATGCTAAGCAGCTAAATAAGTTTATAGAAAGATTTAAAATATCAAAGCTTGAGAGTGTATAAGTCCAAGAAAAAATCAATTTATCAAGATATGTTCAATTTTAACAGTCAGGATACTGAAGACAGAATATCTGGAAGTTCAAGTGCTATTATTAATTAATTTTTATATATATATATATATATATATATATATTTATATATATATATATATATACTCAATTTTTTTTTTTTTTGCTCAGTCTCTGGTCTTCTGTAAGCTCAGGACGTTCCTCCAAGTTCAGCACTCTATGGTATTTCTTGCTGCCAAACTGTCCACCGCTAGGCAGATTATTCCTCCGTCCTGTCACACTAATGGCTGAGCTTCCTGTTCATTGCAAAAAAGAAAGCCAGACTCGATCCACCCAATTTCAACCTCCACTGGGTCTGCTTGTATTCACAGTAAAAAAGGAAAGAGGAAATAAATGCTGGTGTTAGATTTTCTCACCGATCCTCTCTTGGCGCGCCCACTGTCAATACAAACTTCCTTTCTTATTTCGATGCCGGCTCGTCGGGCTCTCTCTCTGCCAGGATACTCAGGAAACTTTCAATCGCCGCCTCTCTCGTTTGTGAGACGCTCCTGCCCGACTTCACCGGCCCCTTTCTTGATGTCTTCTCTCCTCGATGCAGGGAAGGTGTGTGTCAATCCTCACTGCAGCATCCGATCTCTCTTGCTTCCATCTGGCTGCTGGTTACCACGGCTTCGCGTCGGCCATTAATTTGGCCGACTCACGCGTGCTGGATTAGACAGAGCCGCCCGGTCTTGCGATCAGCGTTTTGCGCCCGCTTTCACACTCGTCCGGCTCGCTCTCTCGTCCGTGGGGCTCTCCGGGCTCCACGCCCCTCAGGGGTCCCCAAAACACGGTGACTGATGGTGTTGAGGAGCAGCGGTCACTCTCTCAACGCCATATCGCCGCGGGTCACCAACCGGAAGAAATAGACAGGGAAATTGTATCTCGTTGAGGCCTTTGAGGTGAGGACAGGCCAAGTACCCTAACCCTAACCCTTGACGTGAGTGATGTCAAGTTGGCCACGCCCACCCAGTCACATGACCATCAAACCACGCCCACCAAACAAGCCACGCCCACAGAACCGGTAGTAAATGGACTACTCAGACGGCTGAAAAAGTTATTTTTGACCGGTCCTCGCACTTTTGACCAGTCCTTGAACTTACGACTGTCCTCACATTTTACGTTTTGCGCCCTATCTTGTCACCGTGGTGAAGAGAAGTAGTGGTGAAATGACTGACACGGTTGTTAAGAATGCTACACGGGCATAAATATGAGGATGGTCATAAGTGTGAGGACCGGTCAAAAGTGCGAGGACCAGTCAGAAATGACTTTTTTCAGCCCTCTGAGTAGTCCCTATGCACATAGCCACGCCCACCCAGTCACATGACCAGCTAGCCACGCCTACAGTCACATGACCAGCTAGCCACACCTACCCAGTCACATGATTGCCAAGCCACACCCCCAACTAAGCCACGCCCACAGAACCTGTTGTTAAAAAAATTGAATCCCACCACTGCCTGGGGGCACCTGTGTTAATTGTACAGGTTGATCTGATGTGATTTTGTCTAGCTTTACCTGTTGCTTCCCATCTTTTAGAAAGCTTATGATCCACACTGACCAAGTGTGATCAGTTAGCTGAGTCAGTTTAGTGAGAAGAATATCTGGAATGATGGTACTGAATGCTGAGCTGAAGTCTACAAAAAAGACCCTTGCATAGGTCCTTGGAGATTCAAGATGTTGTAAGATATAGTGCAATGCCATATTAACAGCATCATCTGCCGATCTATTTGCTCGGTTGGCAAATTGCAAGGAATCTAACAGCAGATCCATGATGGTTTTCAGGTGGATCAGCACTAATCTTTCAAAGGTTTTCATAACTTCAGCTACATGGGATGATAGTAAAATGTTTGAAGCAAGAAGAAACATCTCTAGTGATTTATTAACAATGTGGGTATAGATGGGGAAACAAACTTTCAAGCAAGGAGGAGTTACCTTGTCTGGGCCTGGTGCTTTTCCAGGCTTTTGTCTGTGAAACAGACCTCACACATCTTTTTCTGTGATCACCAGAGGTGATGGGCTCAGAGGGATGGAGTAAGTTCAGTCCATATTCTTATTTTTATTATTGTGATTTCTTACAATACAACTTTTGCTTATACTGTTTTCTATCAGATACTGTTCCTTACACTGTTTCCTATCAGGTACTTAGGAGCCAAGGGCTCAGCAGCACAAGGAAACAACAATCAATGACTTCATATCCAGCTATCAACTCCCTAATTAACAACTAAAAGCTACACACAACCAGGCACCATATAAATACAACAGGTAGAAGAGTCCAGTGCACATATTCTAGAGTGAGAAAGAGAAGTTCCCTGATGATGGGCTCCAGCACAAGCCCAAAAGCTTGGAAAAATAAAACCTTTCGTCCTGGTGACTGACTCAGATTGGATCCTGCAACATTATCCTGGGACACATATATTTGTCTTTATTCGCAAGAGATATGGGCAGCCATATCCTATCCTGTTTCCTATTTTTTTACAGTACCTTAAAATACGTCTATACCAGTGGTGGGTTCCTCCCGGTTCTGTCGAGCCGGTAGCGGTGATGGTATGACATCACTGAACCGGTTCTGCCCCCCCGCCCCCCACTCCCCCGCCTCCCCCACCCCCCATTATTCTTACCTTTTATTTGGCCCCACCCCCACTCTATTGCTGCCTCTTGAATCCCAGCTGATGGCTAGAGGGAAAAGCTTCAAAGGGCTGCCCTACAGCTGATCAGTGTTAAAAGAAAACAAATGAGTAGACCGGTGCCTGCAAAAATAAATGGGTACACTAGTGCCTGCAAAAATAAATGGGTAGATCGGTACAGCCTTGCAAGCAGTTAAAAGCCTGGTAGACCAGTACCTCTGCTAAATCCTAAATAATTGTCACATGACCATCAAGCCACGCCCATAAAATAAGCCATGCCCACAGAACCGGTAGTAAAAAAATTTAGAACCCACCCCTGGTCTATACTGTAGCTGCATATATTGGGTAATTCAGAAGCACAGTAATTAAATACATTTTGAAAAATAAATCAAATGATTTGATTAGCAGTGTGGATGTTTCTCAAAGTGGAAAAAATGTCAACTGAGCTTTATATTCATAGTTTACATCAGGGTGTCAAACTTGCAGCCTGCGGACCGGATGCATCACACAGAGGCCACGCCCACCCCAGCTCCACAAAGGCAAAAGCATTGCGATATGTCACATGACGCGATCAAGTTTGACACCCTTGGTCTATCTACATAAAGCTATCATCTGAAGTAAAAAAAATCTTTCCTATTGCCCACCATTTCTTACTCCTAAAAAAATACTTCTAAGTTTACATGAAAAGCTTGAGGCCAAGGTCAATTCTTTTAACAGATGACAATGAACATCTGTTCATTGTGAAGAACATAATATTCTTTTTCAAAGTAAACAAAATATTCCTCAAGTTAATTTGTAATTTAAGTTAAAGATCATTTTTGCATTTAATACTTTGATTTCTCCTTTGTATTTAATCATAATTTTTCAAGTCAAATCACTGGCCTGTTATCTAAAGAACTAATTGTCAGCTAGCCTGCTGCTTGCTGCCATAGAGAAGTGGGGAGGGATCAGTGGAGAATTGTTAACTGCAGCTTTGCAACTCTGGTCTGGATTTCGCCTATCTCTCCAAGGCCATTTCTGTTAGCTCTGGTATGCAATGGCCTCTGGTTGCCTAGCTACAAGGGGGTTGGGCTGTACAGTTTGTTTCAAGTTGCTGTTTTTGCACGCTTTGCCTCAGAGCTTGCCTGGAATTGCTTACTTTCAATTTGTTCCTAGTAAAAATAGTTTTCTCTAAATCTATGTAGCCAAGGATTTTTCTTTCCTAGGAAATGGACAGAGGCAGCCCTGATACTAATGAATAAAAAAGACAAGATTACAGGTAATTTTTTCTTATTCAGATTACTATTAACACATTATTGATAACAAAGCCATATAGTTTCTACCTCTATAACGATCTCATTGTGTAATTTACATTTGTATTTTTTTTTCTCAGAGAATTCAAGAGAACATACTTTTTTTCATTTCATCTTCAAAACAAATCTCTGAGGCAAACTGGACTAAGAGAGAATTATTTCCCCAAAGTGAGACCTCTGGTCAAGATTAAAACAAAATAAAAAGCCATTGACAGCAACAGTCAAATTTGAGAGGATACAGGTAGTCCTCACTGCTCTGTCAGGAGACGGGGTTAGTAACTGAGGCGACACAAGTGAGTCATAACAAGCTCTTTTAATGGCAACAACTCTGCTAACAACAGCTCCAAATAACCGGCAACGTTAACTGCATCTGACAGCTCTTTTATATGCGGCTGTCAAATAGCATTAACCAATCAAGGGGCACAGAACTCCCGCCCCCGATGTAACTGCTTCTCAGCCAATCAGGGAAAGGCATCTCTGTCATCAGGGTAGCGTGCCGACACAACACCCCTTTCCTCCTGGATTGAGCATGCGTAGTCCGCAAGGTTTGCAGGGCGCCTGTGGATTTGCTTGGATCATTGCAGTTCGGGGGTGGCGGCCTGCAGGGCAGATCGCTGCTCTTCCTGTGGATCTATCGGCTGCTCTCCAGGAACCTTGGCTGGGACCGCTTCTTCTTCTGGTAAGTCTGGCGGAGGGCTGGCTGCTTCAGGTTTGTATGCAGCGTAGTTATTTGCTGTTGGGGTGTGTAGTGAGGCCTCTGGGAACGCATGCGAGTGTCTCTTTCCACAGCCAGTTGGTCAGTTAGAAACCGTCTTCGCAACTGGTCCACATGGTGCTGCCAAGTTCTTCCATCCTCGAGTTGGACCCTGTAAGAACAGGGGCTTGTTACTTGGGTCACCCGTCCCGGTAGCCACCGCGGTTCGCCCCTGTAATTACGTGCATAGACTAGGTTTCCCTCTATAAATGTCCTAAAGAGTTGGGAATGGTCCTTGGGGGTTTCTGGTGAGTAATTGGGGTGTAGCCGGTCTAGCGTTGTTCGAAGGCGACGGCCCATCAGCATCTCGGCCGGGCTTCGGTTGGTGGATGGGCACGGTGTAGAATGTTGTGCGAATAGATAGGTAGACACCCTCTCTTGCCACCCACCTGGTCCTAGCCTGGCCAATGCCTCTTTGGCTGACTGCACGGCTCTTTCAGCCAGGCCATTTCCAGCCGGATGAAACGGGGCGATCTGTGCGTGGCGTATTCCTAGGGTTAAGAATAGCTGGAATGTAGTAGAAGTTAATTGTGGGCCATTGTCCAAAACTAGCACATCAGGGAGGCCGTGGGTAGCAAACATCCTGCGCAAAACTTGGATGACAGCCTCAGAGGTGGTGGAGGTCATTAATACTATCTCTACCCATTTCGAATAGGCATCCACCACAATAAGGAAGGTGCGGCCCATATACGGGCCCACAAAATCTATATGAATGCGCGACCAAGGGGCTTTAGGGCTTCCCCATTCCTGGGGAGGGGATATTGGCTCAGCTGGTCTAGACCGCTGACATTTCTGGCAACTAGCGACCCACGCGGTAATGTCCCAGTCTATCTTGGGCCACCAGATATAACTCCGACTTAGGCCCTTCATCCTGACAATGCCAGGGTGGCTCTCGTGTAAGCACTCAAGGACAGAGGGTTGCAACGTTGCTGGGATTACCATCCGATTCCCCCACAACAGACAGCCCCGCTGGACAGACAGTTCGTGCTGTCTTAACCGGAACGGCAGGAACGACTCGGATACTTGGCCTGATGGCCACCCCCTTCCTACCCAGTCGAGGACCTGAGCGAGGGCGGAGTCCCTTACCGAGTGAGTTGCAATATCAGAGGCAGTCACGGGGGTGTGGAGTTCTTCAATGAGAAGAACTGAAGGGGCGGGGGCAGGATCCTGGACAGATACAGGTAAAGGGCAGCAGCTGAGGGCGTCTGCATGCGCTATCAGCTTGCCGGGGCAATAATGCAAAGTGTAATTATAGGCCGACAAGGACACTGCCCAGCGAGACATATAGGGAGAGAGAATTAGAGGAGTTTGATGGTCCCCCGCCAGAAGCCCTAAAAGAGGCTTATGATCCGTCACTAACTCAAAAGGCCAACTGTAAACATAATCATGGAACCACTTGACAGAGGCAAGGCCTCTCTATCAATTTGGCTGTACCTGCGTTCCGTAGAGGACAGGGTCCTCGAATAGTAAGCGATAGGAGCTTCTAGGCCATTGGGGAGCCTATGGCTCAACACAGTGCCAATACCGTACGGGGAGGCATCGGCGAAGGGGAAGATGAGAGGTGTACTGGATTAGGACAGCCAACGAAGTAAGCAAGTCTTTTACAGCCTGGAAGGAGCGATGTTCCGCTCAGCCCCAGGACCATGGCATGTTTCTGTCCAGGAGCCTGTGGAGAGGTTCAGCCACAGTAGTCTTATGAGGCAGAAACACACTGTAAAAATTCAAAAGCCCCCAAAAGGCTTGCAGCTCAGACTTACAAGTGGGGATGGGGGCCTGTTTAATAGCAATCGCCTTTGAAGAGTGGGGTGGATGCCTGTGGCATCAATAAGGTACTCTAAAAACTCTATCTTTGGAACGCCGATTATACACTTGTTTTTTTTTAATTTGAGGCCAGCCTTCCGGAAACGCAGTAGGACTGCCCGAACGCGTTCGATGAACTCACTCTGATAAGAAGCGGAGATGAGAATGTCATCGAAGTAGGGGACGACCCCAGGCAGTCCCTGTAACAGTCGCTCCATTAAGTTCTGAAATAACCCTGGGGTGATGCTAATTCCAAATTGAAGAAACACTCCCCGGTGGGTCACAATGGGTCTGTGCCTCCACTGAGGCATCATCCACCAGGAGCTGCTGGTAAGCCTGAGCTAAATCCAATTTTGCAAAAATGGAGCCAGGGCCAAGCGAATGGAGCAAATGCTGGACTACGGGAACCGGATATGGATTAGATTGTAAAGCCTTATTGAGTGTACATTTAAAATCCGCACAAATGTGAATTGAGCCATCAGACTTAATTGGAATTACAATTGGAGTTTCCTACCTAGAGTGATCGGTGGGTTCTAAAATGCCCTGAGCTATAAGTTTGTCCAATTCGGCATCTACTTTAGGGCGGAGAGCAAATGGGACCGCCGAGGCTTAAGCCGAATAGGGACCACTTGAGGGTCTAAGTTTAGCGTGATAGGGGAGCCGACATATTTACCCAGTGAGTCGCTGAAGACGTCCACGAATTCGCTGGACAGGACATTGTAGTCGCTCGATGATGTGGAGTGTATGCCAGAAATGCCAAGACCCAGAGTGCTGAACCAATCTAACCCTAAAAGGCTGGGAAGAGAAACATCAACAACAATTAAGGGGAGGCGGCTGGTAAAAGTGTCCTTTTCAACTAAGAAATGGCCGTGTCCAATGATGGGGATGTAATTCCCCTGATAATCGCGAAGCTTGACTGGGCATGGATGGAGCTGGCTTTTGCGCAGGATGGGCAGCAGCTTCTTAATGGTGGTCCAGGAAATGATTGATTTGGCGGATCTGGTATCGACTTCCATCTGGCAGGCAACCCCTTCAATCTTGACCGTCAGAACAAGCTTGGTAGCCTCAGGGCTGTTTTTTCGGGTGGTCACTTCAGTGACTCTGTGGCTGCGGGAAATGGCAAAACAATTCTCGCTGATGGAAAATGGCTTCACAACGGAACGCTTGTTCTTGGTTAACAGAGGGGCTTGCTTGTATGAGTGGCAAAAGCGTGCTAGATGGCCCGGTTTTCCACAAGCAGCAGATCAGAAACGACAAGTCGCTCGGGGATGATTTTCACCACAACTGAGGCACGAAGCGGAGGAATCTTGTTTCCCTGTTGGCCCCTTCATTCTGGTGGCGGATGCCTTGAAGCGACTAATGTCTGACTCATCTGTAGCCTCATCGGAGGTGATGTCCTCGAAATGAACGGCCGTGGATTGACCAGCAAGTGTGGAATTTCCGTATGTCTGTGGCGGACTTATGGGACGTTTCCGCTGCCTGTGCTTCCTCAAGGACCGTTTGAAGGTCCAAATCCTTCTTTGCTAGTAGCCGCCTCTGTAATCTAATGTCCCTGACTCCGCTAACTGTTCCACCAAGGCATCTTCCAAGTCCCTGAACTCGCAATCTAGGGCGGCCGTTCTGAGGTGAGCCACATATAGATTGATCGATTCTCCTTCCTCCTGCAATATTTGCCTCAGATTAAAACGGCGGGCTATGCAGGACGGAAATGACAAGTAGTGGCTCCTCAGTTTCTCCCTCAATGCTTCCCAGGGCACAGGGTGGACGAGCTGAGGTGCAACTAAGGCTCTGGCAGTTGCAAATACTTCAGGACCACAGGCATTTAGAAAATGTGCTCGTTTGCGGCTACTGGAAAGATCGGTGAAATCATTTGCTTCCAAGAAGCACTCGAACCTTTCCTCATAAGCTTCCCATGCATTAAACGGGGCAAAAGTTGGTGGAGCCATTCCTTATGACCAGTATACTTGTATATTAGAGTTGTTTGATTGTGACGTCCCGTCACCCGTGACTGATGGCAGTGCTGTCTCAGAGCAGCCATTCTGAAATGGACTTCGTTCACCGGTCACCTCAGAAATCCCATCCTCATCGCCAGTGCTCTGTCGGGAGACGGGGTCAGTAACTGAGGCGACACGAGTGAGTCATAACAAGCTCTTTTAATGGCAACAACTCTGCTAACAGCAGCTCCAAATAACCGGCAACGCTAACTGCATCTGACAGCTCTTTTATATGTGGCTGTCAAATGGCATTAACCAATCAGGGGACTCGGAACTCCTGCGCCTGATGTAACTGCTTCTCAGCCAATCAGGGAAAGGCGTCTCTGTCATCAGGGTAGTGTGCCGACACAACACTCACTTAATGATCACAACTGGGACCAGTAGCACCATTGTTAAATACCGCAATCACTAATAAAGTATTGGAGTTATTAAGCAAAACATCATGTGACTATGATTTATGATTTTATTTCTACCTTCTCTATTCTGTCACAAGTCAGTTGCAGAGCACACAACTGGTGATCATGGGGCTGCAGAATGCTGCAATGATTATAAGGGTATTCTGGTTGTGAAGTGTCCAAATGATGATCACATATGACCATGAGATGCTGCTATGGTTATAACAGCTTTTTTTATAGCAACATAACAGTTGCCAAACAAGACAGCTAATAAGCAATGACTATCATACTTACCTTTATAAAACTTATGTCTTCTTTTTTATAGAACTAAAAATTAAACTGCAGTTAATCAATCAAACAATCAGTTTATTACAGTCTTAGACCAGAGACCAGAACAAATAAAAACGGTCAGTAAATATACAATTAAAAATTCTAGTATAAAATAATAAATAACTAAAATCTATAATAAAATCCAGTCTGTCAATTATACATGGTCTAACTATACTAAAATTACAATCCATAAACTGTGTGGCCCATTGTAGGTTCAACGCTAAAAGGGAAAAAACTAAACAGTGCAAAGGGTTTGCTACATTTGTTATACAACATAACTATGGTGTAAAAGACACGTGTTTGCGACAAACCTGCAGTTAAATAATAGAATTATGCTAAATTTGCAACCAGATATTTATTTCACCCACGAATTTGTAAATACTTAATGTAACTATCCTATTCACAAATTTATTTATTAAATATAGCTTGTTATCATTAAACCTAAGATTAAATCACATACTGGTGTTCTCTCTTTCCTGGGATAAAACATTTATGAAATTGGACTGGAAGAAAATGCAAATACAAAAGATATAAAAGACTGAGGAACACCATTTTCTTCATCAATATACACATAGTCCTTGCTTAACGACCCTCATTGTGATGGAAACTACCAGCACAGAATGAAGCAATTGTTCGGCAAAACATATTACCACACTTAGTGATGCCAGTTCCTGTACCGCTAGTTGCGGTCGATAGGTGAGGACTGCACCATCATTAGGGCAAGGACCTCACACTTCTGCCCTGTTGCGTTTGCCTCTGCTTCAACACCTCCCATTTATCTACCTCCCCTCCATCTTTCCCCTTTTGGCCAGCTGCTACACTCTGCTACTGCCTATCCTTGTTGTCCCCAGTTGACCTTCCCTGTCTGTTTCTGCAGCTAAGGAGGAGCATCTAACTGAAGCAGCTGCTGGCCCTTTGTGAAGCCTTACAGCATCCCCACCTTCTCCACGTCCCACTGGCCCATCCATACTCCCTAGCACCCACCCGCAGCACCTATGAACTGGCCATGCTTCTGATTTGAGATTGCCACCTTTTTCCACTTAACAACCGACATGGTCCTATGGTTACAACATCAACTGGGACTGCCATTGCTAAGTGATGCAATCTTGTGATATCACAGCTTATGACCGCATCTAGACGGCACCAGATGGGGAATGATTAGTGCATAACCTAGAAATTCTTTGATGTAACAAAATCTAGGGGCAAGATCTTGGCAAACCTTAATAATACAAAGAAACTAAACATATATTTGGTTATAGAACAGGAATAATTGAAATCCAATATAGTCATTCCAAAAGCATACATGTAAAAGAATAAAGGGCTCCTTTTTACCAGCCTTTTGTAGAAGGTGATCTCTACCAGAAGCTGCCAACTTTTGTAAAATCTACTTTCCCTACATTGTCAGTTTCTGTTCACAATTCATGCTATCACTGCTTGCAACTCATGACTGGAAATCAGTTTACCGTTCTAGGACATATCCGTATTACTTTCTAAATAAACTTCAAAACAATTCTTCAATGTTATAACAGGGTTTTTTTATTTAGAAGTTAATGAACAGTAAAGGAATCAGCTTCACTAGCAGTTAGTAGAGCTCTCTCTATTCAGGACAATACTAGTACACTTTAGAAATAATTTTATTTTTAAAATTATTTTTTGTTGAACAATAAGTAGCAAACATTAGCAAGTAATCCAATTTTTTTTACTACCAGTTCTGTGGGCGTGGCTTGGTGGGTGTGGTATGGGCGTGGCAGGGGAAGGATACTGCAAAATCTCCATTCCCTCCCCACTCTGGGACCAGCCAGAGGTGGTATTTGACAGTTGTCCGAACTATTCAAAATTTCCGCTATTTGTTCTCCGAACTGCTCAAAATTTCTGCTACCAGTTCTCCAGAACCTGTTAGAACCTGCTGGATTTCACCCCTGATAAATCCACAATATAGCCTTAAAAGGTAAGTAGATCTAAACAGATAATTGTGATTCATGCTTCTGATGTTTATTTATTATTTTATCTACAGCCTTTTTCTAAAATGCCAATTGAAGACACTTTAGTAATCCATATCTTAACTGTTAGATTATTGAAGGTTTTCCAGTGTTGAGCAACTATTTAGCTATCAAAATTAAGAAAACAAGGGAGGACTTCTGGTTGATGTCACGGTGAGATCAGGCATGAGGAGCAGGTCTCTGTGCTCCCATGCCAAATCCTCCCCGTTGGTGGGCTCTGAGAGGGGAGGCAAAGCAAAGAGGGGTGCCCTGCGTGGTTGCGTAGAGTCGCAACTCTCCTGCCTGACCTGGGATTTTTCTTTCCCTCTCAGCCACAACAAGAAGAGGCAGCCTAAACATGGCTGCCACGACGCTGGGGCAGCCGAGGAACACCTAAGACTGGTGCTGGAGTGGAGTTACTGAACAGTGATTGGAGCTGGTTGAGAAGATCTTTTTTGCATTTAGTCCCTGAACTTAAAGGGAAAAAAGAAAATCCAGAGAAGAAAAGAGACTCTTATAAAGACTCTTATATACCTTTTATAAAGTGGCTAATAACCACTTAATAGAGAGAAAAATACTAGACCCGAATGAAAGGAACTGAAGGGAGAAAAGCTTTTAAACTGGGTAGGCGTTGTTATGGAAAGGCATTATAATATGCTGGAACTATGTACCTGAATTGATTTGAATATCTAATTTTGTCTCTATGAACTGAATTGAATTTGGATTTTAATTTATCACATTTGAAACAACACTGAAACCTCTGTTGATGCTGCCATCAACTGGTGAATGGAATATACTACGCACCTACAAATCTAGGAAAATTTTGACAGAAGAAATAAGCAACATCTTTTTGAAGGATTGTGGTGATACTGTCCTGTAATTAATTACTTTACTTTTGTGATAAGGAAGACTTTTAAGTAAAGTGACTTATTGTGTGGAAACTGTCTGGACTATTTAAATGGAATTGATTAATAACCCTGAATGTAAAGAACTATGATTATTTAACTCTTTGATGAGCAAAACTGGAACTGAATATATTGTTTGTGGCGCTGACTAAAAGTGGACTTATTAAACTAAAACAAGATGCCTTTTTTTATTAAAAAGTTTTATCAAGCATTACAAAAAAAATTTCCCATCCCTCCTCCCCCACCTTCCCTCCTCCATCCACCCCCCATCCCTCATCCCCCCTCTTCCTCCAACCCCCCTCCCCCCACCCACCCACCCCGGACTTCCCAGAGCAAATACAGGGTATAACATGCAGAAATTTTTGCCATCTCTGCTAAATTCACTACTTTTAATGTCCATTCTTCAATAGTAGGTAAGTCTTCCTTCTTCCAATACTGCGCCACCAAAAGCCTGGCTGCTGTTATTAAATTTAAAATCAATTTAGTCTCTATGACTGTACAATCTGTAATTATACCCAACAGAAAGAACTATGGAGTAAATTTTATCTTCTTTTTGAGAATGTTTTGGATAATCCACCATATTTTTATCCAAAATGCCTTAATTTGGGACTTCCGGTTTGCTCTTCGTAGCCACCAGACGGTCCCTCGGGACCGCCAGCCCCTTCGCCTGTAAAGAGCTGCCTGTACAGCGCAAAGGCGGCTCGAAAAATCCCATTTCCAGGAGGAAATGTGGGATAGAGCAGGTGAGTGTAGGTAGAGCTCTCCGTAACCCCCAGGGTTTTTTTTTTACTCTTGGGGGCGGGCGGAGGAAGCTCCCTATAGCACTCGCTGCCCACTCCGGGCGTTGGGAGACTTCTGCCTTTTTGCAGAACAAGGCTACGAAGACAAGCTTTTTAAGATATTTAACAGATTAACTAAAGATGATGAGATTTGGATCTGGACCTGTGACCCTAAATTGCAAGTATTAATACTTATTTCGCAAAGGATATTCAACAAAGTAAAAAAGACCTTTTAAAATGGCGATTGCCGAAACTGGAGCAGGGAAGCTGAAAAGAGAAAGTCCTTCCGTTTCTTATTAAGTTACAAAGTAGCAGAATAAATGCTCCTGGCTACATTTGAAGGGATATGAGCTGGACCTGTGACCCTGAATCGCAAGTATCTCATTTATTTTATAACAATTATTGAAGAAGGAAAAGGAAAAGGAAAAAAGAATCTTTAAAAAGGGCGATTGCCGAGGCTTGAGAAGGGGCTGAAAGGGAGAGTCCTTCCGTTTCCTATTGAGATACAAAGTAGCTGAATAAATATTTTTGGCTACACTTGAAAATAAAGCTCTACTTTTGTGCTTTTTCTCTTCCTGGAGATTTGATATTGATCTTGGTTGGAAAGAAGTTTTTTTTTTCTCTGCTGCCTCTCTTTTCTTTTTTTTTTAAAAAATAGTATGTCTGTGTTGAAATATGGCATTAAAGCCGGACAAACAAGCAATGGGGGGGGGATTCCCCCATTAACAAATTACGTGACCAAGTTTTAAAGCTCCAGTCTCAGAAAACTGATTTTAATATAATTGAATTTCTTTTGGAGGAGATTGTAAGAAGGGATGAGATTGTGAATCAGAACTTTGAAAAATTTAAGCAGGAAATTAAAGAATTAGTGCAATTAAAGTTTGATATTCTGGATCGAAAGATTATAAAAATGGCTAATGGCTTTGTAGAATTTATGATTAAGTTGGATGAAAATACTAACTTATTAGAGTCTAAAGTGGAAGAAATTGAGGACAATTTGGATAATAAAATACAAAAAATTGAAAATGATTTGACAAACATTCAAGACAATAGCTCAGAAGAAAAACCTAAAATGGAGGTTGAACAAAAGTCTTGTAATGCAGAAAATTTACAACAACGGATTGAAAGAGAGGTCCTAATGGTGCATTACAATTTTACAGAATATGCGATCAGACTCAGAGGTTTGCAGGAAAATAACAGAGATGATTTAAGGAAAATATCTTTGAAATTCTGGCTGGGATTTTAAAGGTTCAACCTGAGGAAGTGTTTTGTAGGATTGACAGAGTGTTCAGAATAAACTCCTGGATTGCAAAGCAAAGGCAATTGCCTAGAGATGTGGTGATTTATTTTACAGATAAAGAAATTAGGAATAATGTTGTGCAAAATTCCTTCAATTCTACTTTGCAATTGTATGGAAGAAAGATATGGATCTACAAAGAGCTCCCCCCCAAGATGTTAACGGAAAGGAAGAAATTTGGTTTTCTGGTGACTGAGTTAAAATACAGAAATATTCCATTTAGGTGGGATGCCCCAGTTGGCATAATATTGAGATATCAAGGAGAAAGATACCAATTAGATACTGTTGAAAAAGCGGAAGAATTTTATCAAAAAAATTTGAAAATGAACTTAACATCTATAGGCACAATACAGGATAAGCAGAAGGAGTTGGAAATAAAGGGAAAACATCGAATTACAGAGGTTGCGGTAGACAAATTGCCTTTGGATTCTCTCGATACCCCAGCTGGATTATCTACAAATATGAGAGAAGCGGCATCTGATTTCAACGTGATGATTCACCAAGTTAAAGACAAGTATGGAAACCAATTAGCTGATATACAATTGGCAAAAAAGAAATATGAGATACAAAAACAAAACCAACAAGATCAACTTATAAAGCAGAATGAAAACCGATCAGTTGATATACAACTTGTAGAAAGGAAAACAGGATGGAAATTAAACCCACAAAAAGAAAAGAAAAAAAGAAATAGGTCTCACAAAAACAGAAATTTCTAAATTAAGCAACGGTGAAGCCAGTGATTTTAAAAAAATGAATGAATATGTGAAAAGATAGTGGAGGCGAAGTATTGGTTAATATCATCCTGAGGACAGTGACAGACCTCTGCAATGCCGTAATTTTGGGATGTGAAAAGAGCCTTAAACTGTTGGATTTGAATTATCTATTTTGGATTTCTTTCTTGTATTGATAAATATATTATAACTATTCTGAGCTACAAGGCAAGAGAGCTACGTTGGGGCATGCAGAAGATCTGGTTGTTACCCATTAGGACGATGGGAATTAATAATCCTGATGAAAGCCACAATTACAACTATATGGAATATAATCATAATGTCACTCGGGTGGTTGTTTTTACTTTTATATATATATGAGGATATTCATTACTGATGGGGGCAGATGATGACTGAAGACTTTGAACAAACTGTTGCACCAGGATGCTACGTTACCCAATTATGGATGAGGGACTCAACAATCCAGTGGAAAGACATCAAAGAAGATATTATATGGATTATAAATTTAAAGTTATTGTCTTTTCTTTTTTTAAATAACGGAATATATACATATATATATATATATATTTTAGCAGAGTGGGCAGTGGATTAAAGATATTAAGAATTGTTGTGCATGGTAATTTTGTAGGAAAGTGGGTGGAAATATGTTAGTTTACTGATTGATTAGTTTAAGAAAAGGGATGTTTAAGTGATATATTTAGGGCAGTGGAGGAAATGAATAGAGTTGAATAAATGTTAAATTAGGATTTATGGGGAAGGCTGCTTTGAAATGTTATATTAATATACACAAAGAATAAATGTTAAAGTAGGATCCATTATACAGTCTTAAAGTGGAAGGTTGCTTTGAAATGTTGTAATAATATATAGATATAAGTTTTGGGGAGGACAAAAAGGGCAGATTATTGCTAAATTGGGAGTTATAATAATATTATGCTAAACTAGAAGTTATCATACAATGTTATAGCAGACTGCTTTTTTTTTAAATGTATGGTAAAAGGGGAAAGTAACAATATTAATAATATTTTTAGTAAGTAAGGGTCAGTATATAGAGGAAGGAGTAAGGCGATGTTAAAATATTATGTAATCTGTTATGAATTAGGTTTTTGGTGTGAAGAAGTCACGGGAGGATGGGTGGCGAGGGGGGGTTAGGGAGGAGGGGGGAAGGAAAAAAAGGGGGGAAAATTTGTATTTGAAAACTTTTTCAATAAAAAAATAAAAATAAAAACTAGAAATAGAGGTAGAAATAAGAATATACACCCTTATATGAAGGACTATGTATTAACATAAATATATGTTTTAACATTAAGATTAGTAAGAGTGACTTGACTAGAAGCCAGAACAGAGATAGAAATAAGAATTAGGGGGAATATTAGTAGTTATAATTTCTGTATAAATTAAAAATAAGTAATAATTAGATGGAAAGTTGAGAGGTTGAAAGATGGTATTACTATGTTATGTTCAAGAAGATCATTGACATTAGAATGGAACACTGAAATATTGAATAACTACTTTAAAATAATCAAGTACATTAATATTAGGATTATATAAGTTTAATTAATGTAATAATTGATTGTTATTTGTGTTAACACGAACCATACCCAGAGGCCACACTGTTCATATATTGATGTTGATAAATGTTTAAAAATAAAAACCCAATAAACCTTGAAAAAAAATTAAGAAAACAATAGGTGCCTTTATTTTAAACATAAGATTCAATTCCATAAATAAATGTAGTAACACTATCTACATTTAGAGTTAACTAAGAATATAGAAATAACAAACTTTTTAATGCAGACATGTATTGTAGTTTTAGCCAAAAAGCAAGTCTGTAAAAACAAGAACTATCTACCATCCTAATTTGCAACAATTCTTACAATATTTTCTAATATACAACCTGTTCAGCCAAGACTATTGAGTTTTGTTAAAAAAAACTCTGTAAGAAAGACAATGTACTTTTCAGGTTTCTGTAGCCTTATATAGTAGTTAAATGAAGCACATCAACAATGCATACAGCTGTCACACAACACAGGTATAAAACAAAATGCAAATGTGGAAGTGGAAGTGGAAGTGGAAAGGAACTCACTGCTGTTTTGTGGTCAATAGTTGTATGTGCATTCCAGTAAAAATCATAAATGTTTTAGTTGTTTCAATATGTTTCATCGCAATACAACAATTTACTTTACCAGTTCTATAGTATATCATATGTGATAAATAGGTTATTAATAGTGTCATTCACAAAAGATTTGGCACCATCCAGATACTGCTAAGGAAGTTAATACATCAGTTAACACATATATTATAGCCCAGGTCAGGACTCAGACTCTGAGTCCAAAGCTGAAAAAGCTGCTTCAGTCGAGCCTGCATAATGTCTATTCAGGAAGGACAAAGCCAGACAACACATAAAGCTGATCAATCACCAGCACTATCTGAGTAACTGGACCTGTCAGATAGGGACCCTGCACCAGACAAGCAGAAGGAACAGCAGAACAGAGGAAACCTGTTGGGTTACTTGTCAAGCAATGGAGTAAACCAGTATTTTTCAACCTTGGTAGCATGAAGATGTGTGGACTTCAACTCCCAGAATACTCCAGGCAGCATGTTGACTGCTGAATTCTGACAGCTGAAGTCTACACATCTTCAAGCTGCCAAGGTAGAGAAACACTGAAGTAAACATTCTGATTGCTGATAGCTGGCTGCAGCCTTTAAAAAAATATTTTCTTTGCCTATGTTCTCTGAACTAGCTGATAACCTTGACAGAACGATTTTGGATGACTTTTCTGCACACTCCTCTTTAAAAACAAAATTCACAGGCAAGCACTGTCTTAAACAAGTCATTCCTTGCTATTGTCCTCTGAAAGTAAAATTGATAATCTCCTAAGAAATCGTGTGTGTGTGTGTGTGTGTGTGTGTGTGTGTGTGTGTGTGTATGCACAAACACACATACACGCACAAAACCTGAAGCAGGACAGCATGTCGTGGTCTTTAAATTCTATTGCTTAAAAAGTACCACCAAATGCATCTCCCCACTTAGTTTTTAAATATTGCTTTTTTTTTATTTGAGATTCATTTACATAAAGATTGGCCTATTTTTTTATGCAAAATAATTGCAATCCTACTGGTTGTAAAAAAAATGTACAATATTTGAATACATTTCTTAAATGCCACTAAAGGTGAAGTGTTCTAAACAGATATGGTTGGATTCCAGCCTTTTGGAAAACATTGGGAAATAGCCCAATTCCAATTTAATACCACCCAAAATAATTAATAATGTATACGTACAAACAAATCCAACTGCCAGATAAAGACATTAGAATAATTATCCCAAATATTTCCTTCTCCAACCAAGAGATAAAACATCCAATATCCTATTTCTTTATTTTTTACAATTATTTAAAATTAGACACAGTTTCAGTCCAATTTATCCTTGTAAGAAGGCTCCTATTCTTCCATGTCCTGTACAATACATATTGTTTCTATTATTACTCTATTAAACAAGCACACCATTTCCCCTCTACTATACAGCTAACATTTTCTTTTTAGCCCAATTTCCAGTAGAGCCTGGAAATCATTAACTGGACCACCTCTTCCATTAGCACCTACCAGCTGAGGACCTGTCCCTTGGCAGCAAGACGTGCAAAATGAACAGATGCCTATTTCTACTGGACAGAAACAGGCAGCAATTATCAAATCAGACACACACACACACACACACCAAAGGCACGGGCTCACATTTGCAATAGCAGCGAATGCTTTTTGATGTTTTATCCACCCACCCCGGGCTCACATTTTTAAGTATGTAAAGGGAGTATGCCTGGAAGGGAGTGGAAATATCTTTGCCAGCCTATTTACGAGAGTAAATCATATTCGGGTGAGAGGAGGGGTCTGTTCAGGGAAATGAACGAGACAGACACATGGCAAGATTTCACCGACGAGAGGCCATAAAGCACATGCGCATGGTTGGAAACGGAGCCAGAGGCTTTTAGGCAATCTGCATTTACGAAGGGGAGGAGCTGCAGGCACGACTGTTAGAAAATAATCGAGTATCAGAAAATAATTGTAAACGGGGAGGGGGGAGAGGAAAAAAACCCGAATATGTCGGGTAATCGAAGATTCGGGAGAACAGAAGGTTCAAGAGTTGGTGGTGAAGGAGACCCGGAGAGGGAATATGCCGCGTATTTGGGGACGGGAGGACGAGAGCGAGCAGGAAAGAAACACGCCGGGGCAAAGCTGGCAGGCTGCCCCACTCTTCCCACGCCGACCTAGGCAAGACAACTCGCTCGTTCGCTTGTCTCATTTGGTGCAGAGGCCTGCGGAGAGCCATGGCTCTTGCTGCAAGCCGTTCGGACCTCTCCTCTCCCCCGTTGCTGAGGAAGGGAAGGAAGAACAATTATGGGCCCGTCAGGCAGCCGTGAGTGGGTGGGTAGGCCAGAAAGGACGAGTCGCCGGAATGAGGTGACTCACCTGTGGCGCTGAGCATGAAGTCCAGAGTGCTGTGTCGCGCTGCTGCCATAATGAAGTAGAGGCCTGTGCCATGCCTGATGGAACGGCCGTGGCTGTGTTGCGAGTGCCACTGCCTGCCTGCGCGATGTGCGTGCGTGTGTGTATTAGGACGCTAGGTGGAGGCCGGGGTTGCCGCCGCCGTGTGAGAACCCGAAGGGGAGGGGCAAATGACTGGAAGCGATAAATCGACGCCGAGGTGGGGGGATTGAAAGCGACTCCGCTGGGGATTCGTGGGAGTCGCGGGCGGCACCTCTCCATTTGCTGTTTTAGGAAGCCTGAAGGGGTGAGCTGATGGCTTTTGTTTATAATCGGAGACAGATTCACTACTACAGTAGTAGCTACTACTTTGGCTTCGAGGCCTTCCTGCAAAATAAAGGCGCTTCAAATAACACATTTTTTTACGTAATGACTCGAATGTTCTTATTCCAGGTTCTTTGGATTTCTTATATACGTTGCGCTTCAGTTTATTCTATGATGGCTAAAGCTGTTTCAACAAATTGAGGCTGGGGTAATGCAGACCAGGTCTAGTGTCCTCCTACGTCGCAGTTTTATTTTTCAGTTCCAGAAGAAATTCTGAAACGTATAAGAACAATGTTCTTTTAGGCATTGTTGGAAGAAATATCCATCTGGTTCAGTTCCAAGTGGGGGGAAAAACACTGGAAACATGGAGGCTGATTGGAAAGATTGTTTAATGAAGCAGAACCATCCAGCACATGGTCCTGGTGTTGCAGAAAAATAAGAAGCTAAGTTTCGAGATCCAGAAAAGCTTTTTTATTTTGGCCAAAAGGTTCAGACATGCATTCTATTTACATTCTGAACAAAAGACCTTCTTTAAGACACGTATCTTTATAGTAACGAAAAACAGGAAATGTGAAATAAACCTACCTGTTAGGCTCTCTCCCTCCTCCCATTATTGCCTGAACAGGAAGATTAGTTAATTTCTTGTGGTTTGACTTTTTGAACTCTCCAACTGTAGAAAGTGAGTTAGCTCTGTGGTTTTTGAACTCTGAACTTTTTGAACTCTGCAACTTTCTCAAGTCAAAGGGGCCCTTCAGAGATCCTCCAAGCTGACCCCGTATTATTTCACTCTTATATCTAAATTTCATTTTACGTCCTACCTTATCCTCCCTTTAAGACTATTTTACTTGGTTACAATTGAGTCTTACCTATTACAGAGCTTAATTCAACAATGCAAGCATATAACATTTGACATAACATAATCAATTCAAGATAAGATACATAATAGTGCAAAAGAAAGACAAGTAATACATATGATTTTCAAATCTTATTCTCTGAAGCACTTTCTCTAATTACCCAGTTGAGAGTTGTACATATGTTCCTGCATCAGAAACTTCATTTTCATCAAAGAGATCAGGGTCAATTTTACGGTCTATAAGACATTCCACCAAAATCAATTCTTTTTCAACTCATCTCTTTCACTGCTCTCTTAGCTAGTTGTCTGAACACAGGTATTGCACAAGAAATAAAAGCCAGGCCTGTCACAATAAAAATAACATCTGTCTACAAGCTGTTGCTTGTAACTTCTGACCCATTCTGGATGCCCGGTCCTTGGAACTCTCTCTGACCACACCTGACTTTTTGTGTAGAAAAACCACCTTTCGGTTGTTAAAAGGTCTATGGCACGCCAGTTTTGGAAGACCACTGCTGCCAAAAAATCTATTTGGTCTTGGACCTTGACCAAGGTTCCAGCAATTTGGTACAATTGCCTAAATTGTATTATGGAGTGTGCCATCCACCTACACCAAGAGTGGCACCCTTTTTTGAACATACCCCATGAGGGGAACAGGGATAGTGTCCTCTCCACTGACAACACCTATTTTGGGGAAAGATGGATATGTTCCAGTCCAGTTTGTAGGTAAACATAATTACACATTTTTCCCACATAAGAAGAAAACTCCATTTTTCTTTACACACACCTATGTTCATGGAAGGGACGTTGGTCTTACCGTGATACGTTCCTTCTCATAGTGTAAAATGGGAGGTGCCAAGCTGGGGATATTGTAGCTCTATGTCCTGAATTGAAACGTCTGAAGATCCGCCTCCCTGGTGACGTCTCTTCAGTTTGTGCCAACGAAGCCAATGTGAATGGTACGCAGTCCAGGCGAATGGTACACAGTCTGAAAGATAGAAACAACATGCTCCACCAGGGGAGCCGGTCCAGGCAGACACAGACAGGGTGGGGCTGGCACCTCCCATTTTACACTATGAGAAGGAACGTATCACGGTAAGACCAACGTCACTTCTCCATAGTGTAAAAATGGGAGGTGCCAGGCTGGGAAATACCAAAGACTGGCCAGCCCTCAGGGTGGGAACTGTCCTGGGCCGACGACCCTGGATCTTCATGAACCCGCTGCAGTACTCGTCTCCCAAATGCTGCCTCCGCCAAAGCGAAGGAGTCAAGTCTATAGTGGTGGATGAAGGGAGTGGGAGAGGTCCACGTGGCCGTCCTACAGATGTCCTCCACAGACGCTTGGGTAGACCAGGCCGCTGTTGTGGCAGCACTGCGGGTGGAGTGGGCCATTATCCCCTGAGGCACCGGGAGAGCCTGAAGCAGAAGAGATGCATGTCCAGAGCCAGCGCCCCACCGTGGAAGAGGTCACCCTGTGGCCAAGAGTCGACGGCTGGAAGGAGACAAAGAGTGCCTCCGTCTTCCGGAAAGAAGAGGTCCTAAAAATGTAAATACGGAGGGCCCTCCTTACATCCAAGGTGTGCCAGGTCTGCTCCAAGGCGTGCCGAGGCCGAGGGCAGAAGTCTGGCAGGACCAACTCCTGTGCTCGGTGGAACAAGGAGTTGACCTTAGGAAGGAAGGCACGGTCCAGCCGCAGGACCACCCTGTTGGGGTGAAAAATACACAGGTCTTTCCGCACCGATAAAGCCGCCAACTCTGAGATCCGTCGGGCAGACGTGATGGCCACAAGGAAAGCTACTTTACACGAGAGGAGATGGAGGCTAGCCTCCCTCAATGGTTCAAAAGGTGCCTTTGTTAATGCCTGAAGAACCTTAGAGAGGTTCCAGGTGGGATAACGGTGAAGAGGCGGTGGTTTTAAATTAGCCGCTCCACGCAGAAAAATCTTCACCCTTGGATGGTGAGCGAGGGAACCCCACTTCCCAAATGTCAAGACCGTGCCTAGCGCAGCCACCTGTCGCTGTAGAGTGTTAGTGGAAAGTCCCATGTCCAACCCGTCCTGTAGGAACTCAAGCACCTCCACCACCAATGCCGAAGTTGGACTCAAATGTCTGGAGGCACACCACACTGCAAACCTGTTCCACGTGGCCTCGTAAATACACATGGTGGAGGGCCGCCTGGCCGCCTGCATAGTCTTGATGACCCTGGTCAGAAAGTTCTCCCTCCTCAAGAGCCCCCACTCAACCTCCAAACGGCTAACTGCAGTCTCTGCGGGTCCGGGTGCTGCACCGGACCTTGGCTGAGGGCGATTCTGATCAGGGGAATCCGCCAGGGCTTGATGACCAACAGGTCGACCAGGTCGGCGAACCAAGGCCACCTGGGCCAGTGAGGGGCCACTAACACCATCTCCGCCCCCTCCAACAACAACTTTCGAATTACGGCTGGGATCGGGTAGGGGAGGGAAGGCGTATAGGAGGCCCTTGGGCCACGGGGTCTGCAGAGCATCCACCCCCGCTGCTCCCAGGGCAGGAAAATGGGAGAAGAAAAGGGGAAGTTGTGTGTTCGCTGGAGAGGCGAAGAGGTCCACTACCGGGTGACTGAACCGGTCGACTACCTCCGCAAACAGGCCGGGATGGAGCCTCCACTCCGAGGGGTCCACTAACACCATCTCCGCCCCCTCCAACAACAACTTTCGAATGACGGCTGGGATCAGGGGTAGGGGAGGGAAGGCGTATAAGAGGCACAGGGTCCGCAGAGCATCCACCCCAGCTGCTCCCAGGGCAGGAAAACGGGAGAAGAAAAGGGGAACTTGTGTGTTCGCTGGAGAGGCGAAGAGGCTCACTACCGGGCGACTGAACTGGTCGACTACCTCCGCAAACAGGCCGGGATGGAGCCTCCACTCCGAGGGGTCCACTCAGCCAGTCGGCTTCGACGTTGTCCGTCCCGGCGATATAGTCCGCTGTCAGGGACAAAAGGTGAGTCTCTGCCCAGAGACAAAGGGTCTCCGCCTCTCATATTAGAGGCCGGGAACGAGTCCCCCCTTGCCTGTTGATATGGGCTTTTGTCATTGTATTGTCTGTGAGAAGGAGCACATGTTGCCCCCTCACCTGTGGAAGAAAGGTCTGGAGAGACAGACGGGCAGCTCAGAGCTCCAACCAATTGATCTGGTGGGATAGTTCTAGGTGCGACCAACGGCCCTGGGCCACCTGGGATCCGCAATGGCCTCCCCAGCCCAGCAGACTGGCATCCGATGTTACCACCACCCTTCGGGGTTCCCTGAAGTAACACCCCTTCTGGATGGCCTCTGACGTCCACCAGGTTAGGGAACGTAGAACCTGTGGTGGAACCTGAACCCTGATCTTGGACGAGCTCGTTCCCGCCTTCTGAAAAGGGAGCAAGAACAACTGTAGTGGTCTTGCATGGTACCTGGCCCAGGGAACTATGTTTAAACAAGAGATCATTTTCCCCAACAGTTGGGACAGTTGGTCTACCTGAACCGTCTGGGACCCTTGAAGCGACTGAATCAGCGCCCTTATACTGTCCTTCCTTTCCTGGGACAGGAAGACCTGACCCGCTTGCGTGTCTATCAGGGCCCCCAGGTGAACTAACCTTGTGGAAGGTACCAGATGGCACTTTGCCAGATTCACTGAGAATCCATGGTCCCTCAGTACCTGTATTGTCGTGGCCAAGTCCTGTTCTGCTCGCCGCTGGGAGGATGCCTGTAGGAGCAGATCGTCGAGGTAGCATTGAATTCTGATGGGAAGGGACCTGAGATACGCCGCCAAGACAGAGAGAATCTTGGTAAACGTCCAGGGGGTGGAGGCCAGCCCGAATGGCAGGGCAAGATATTGGTAGTGACGGCCTGAATAACAAAATCTCAGGTATTGACGATGCTCTGGCCAAATTGGGATGTGGAGGTAGGCTTCGGTCAAATCTATGGAGGCCAAGAAGTCTCCCTCCCTGATTCCCACTAAGATGGAATGCAGAGAGTGCATAAATGATATAATCGTTGAGACCCTTCAAATTTAGAATTGCCCTCC